ATATAGACAATCAAGACAACTCTACAACCATCGCCATCTCGATCTCCAAATAAATATGTATACGGCAAACAGAACCGCCGGTGGAATCCAGTACTTCATCCGTAAAATTAAATTCTAATGGTAAAAATAAATAAATAAAAGAAAAAGAGAGAAGCTTCTGGAATAGACCTTGACACATAATCTACTCTTCTGGCGCCTTCTTTTGTTCCCGAGTGTGCGCGTGGGTCCCGCCTCTTTTGCCCTTTTTCTCTTTTTTTAATCTTTTAATTTCCCTTTCCTTCTCGAACTCACGATTTCTCTTTCCCCCTTTCCCTTCTTATCATTTACTCCAACCCGAACTTTCTAGAAACAACAAAACCGAAAAACCCAACTTCTCATTTCTCCTCCTCCTCCTCCGCTCCGTCTCTCTCCCGCCTTCTCCTCCTCCTCCTCCTCCTCCTCCTCCTCCTCCTCCCTGTTCAGATCAACGTCCCTCCTCTCACTTCGCTTCCGTTTGCACGTGCGGCGTCGAGTTTCGTCGTTTGACGGGAGCTTGTTTGGTTGTCGAGAAACTCCTGCTTTCGTTCTGGTAATATAAAGATTCATTTCTTTCTTGTCATGGATACTACTCCATTTTATCAGATTTGTGATTTTGATCTTATTTTCTGATTGGAGGCCGAGAAACCTAACCGAAGTGTTAAATCCGTTACAGTATTTCTTTTCTATATTAGGTGGGAACTGGGAAAAGGAAAAAAAAAAAAAAAAATCTAACTCAAGAAACTGTTTGCGTTTTCATTGATGTGTAACATAAAAATAATTTTAGCAGTTGATTTAGTCTCACCGAGATAGATATTTTGAGGAAGATAACTGAAACTTGCTTGTTTATTTGAATTTTCTCGCACTTTCTCGGCAACCAAACGTAGTGTTATCATCTGGTTGTGTTATAATATCTTTTTTTTTTTTTTCTTCTTACTATTTTTTGAATCTAATCCAAGTGTTTGGTAAATCATCAGATTGAGCAAAATACAAACCGAGGAATTCAGGAATCTATCTGGAGAGTTCCAGATTTCCAGGGTTCGGATCTGGAGCCGAACCCCATGGCGCCATTGCCGGCAGAACCCGGCGAGTCACCGGCTGGTGGCCTTGAGTCGCAGCGATCCTTACCTACTCCGTTTCTTACCAAAACCTATCAACTCGTCGACGATCCCGTCGTTGATGACTTGATTTCCTGGAACGATGATGGATCAACGTTCATCGTGTGGCGACCCGCAGAATTCGCCAGAGATTTGCTTCCTAAGTACTTCAAGCATAACAACTTTTCAAGTTTCGTTCGCCAGCTTAACACTTATGTAAGTGATTTGAAATAATAATAATATTATTATTTGAAGTTGAACTTATGGAGTAAAGAAATCTGTTTGAATGAATTGCAGTTTACAATTTTAATCCGTTTTCTTATCAATCAGTTTGGAACTGTTGAATTTGTAGGGATTTAGAAAGGTAGTGCCGGATCGATGGGAATTTGCGAATGATTGTTTTAGGAGAGGCGAAAAATGTCTTCTCCGCGATATACAGCGTCGGAAGATAACTCCTCCTGCTCCAGCTGCCGGAACTGTGACGGTGGCAGCTGTGCCGGTGGTTCAAGCGGTAGCGCGTACCGTGTCTCCGTCGAACTCCGGAGACGAGCAGGTCATCTCCTCAAACTCATCCCCTGTTGCGGCAACGCTACAACGCACCACGGGCTGCACGACTACGCCGGAGCTCCAAGAGGAGAACGAGAGGCTTCGGAAAGAGAACACGCAGCTGAATCAAGAGTTAACTCAGTTGAAAGGATTGTGCAATAATATACTGGCCCTGATGTCGAATTACGCATCGGGTCAGCTAGAGAACACAAATTCAAATTTGTCAGAGGGAAAGCCTCTGGATCTCATGCCAGCAAAGAGTTCGGCCGGTCCTGCCGATGACGGTGGTTCACAGGAACCGCCGACGGCGGAGGACGTGACGCCAAAGTTGTTCGGGGTTTCGATAGGGGTGAAGCGCGTGAGAAGAGAGGATGAAGAAGAAGGGAAGCATCATGCACAGCAGCAGGATAATGAGCCCGTTTCAGAGGTGAAACCAGAGCCGTCCGATGGGAAGTATGATAATCAGGAGAATACGTGGCTGGAGCTGGGGAAATGAGAATATATCAAGCCGAAGATTGTTTGGACGAAGATGATGATCAGGATGGGCTCCACGTTGGGGGTTGGATTTCGAGGAATCACGAGATTTAAGGCGGACACGTGGCAGGCGAGGTGCGTTTTGTTCTGGTTGCTTCTGGACCTTACTTCGGCTTTTTTGCTTGTAAAATTCAAAATTGTAATCAATCCAATCCAATGCTGGAGGGACGGAATTGTAAAAGCACAACACAAAAGATAGAATCAGAATCTCTACCTTACCTACACTACACAAAAGCCAACGCCGGTGAAGGGTAAACGACGCCGCAGGGAGAGGCAACAGAATTGAGTGCAAAATTGGAAAAAGTCAAATGACAGGAAATTTGGGGAATTGGGTGGTGGGGTTTCAGGTTCCTTAAATTAATTAATTCAGCCCTTTTGTACAATATTGGATGAATCTAAGCATTTTCTCTACGGAATTGCAAATTGTGTTAGCATGAGATTTACATTTGTTGCAATTGCAAAATAATGAGTCTCTAATGGATGTAAGTTGGAGACAAATCGTCTGTTCTTTCTGCCTGTAGGGAAGAGGGGAGGTCCGAGAAGTGAGTTGGGCTTCTTGATGCAATTGTATTTGTTGGGCTAGAAATTGAGGGGCCTGAATAAATTAAATATGCCATTCATGTCGCTGATTTGGGCTAATTAGCCTGTTGTAGGCCCTATGGGCCATAGCTATTACTTCAACACGAAATAGAAAATTGATTTTTATGAGGAGAGTTTTTTTAATTTTTAGTTTTCGAAATAGGTTGATTGGATTGGGAGAAGGGGGAATATGGCTGGCAAGGGAACTCCGAACCCAGTCAGCCAGTTGCATCCGAACGGCAAACCTCCTAAATCTGTCTCTTAAATAAGAGGGTAAGTATGGATTTATCTTTTATAAAAATATAGGAGTAAATTATCTATTTAAATTATAAATTAAAATAAATTATCTGTTATTTAATGTATGACATCATTTGAAGTCAACTTTCCATTAAAAAATACTTAAGGTGATAAATAGATTTTTGAGGAGTAATGATGTCAATTATTAAATAATTAGTAATTTATTTTAATTGATAATTTAAAAAGATAATTGATCTTTTCTTTTAA